CTTCAGAAACGAAGTAAGCAAATTACTGGACGCAGATTGGATCGAACGAATAAAGAACGTCATAGAAGAGACGTCAACCGCAAACCATTTGAAAACCCGAGTGAGACTAAACAGAAAACTTGACAATTGAAAGCAACACATTCAGGATATTCCGAGCCGATCCACAACTTCTCCAAACACCAACTCACAACCGCAGAATCGGCAATTCTCATGAAAGACCTGAAATTCAACCACTCCAATGCTGAACCGACCGACTTCATCGCCCCTGTAGAGAACGGACCAAGAAACTGCTCGTTGCCCGAAGACAAGAGAAGAAATTGGGATTAAAATATGCCAACAGAAACAGTCGCAGCTGATCCCTGATGTCGAAGTGAAAGCATTGAAATCGCTGAAAAATGACCCCAATATTATCATTCTGCCGGCAGACAAAGGCAATGCAATCGCACTGTTGGAGAAAACAGAATATACAAAAAAACATAAAATAACTCATCGAAGACAAAGAAACTCATCAAGCAGTCAACGGGAACTCCTTAAAGCAGCTGAGGAATCAACTATCTAAATCCTTTTCCACTCTCAAGAAAAACAAGAAACTAACGGATGACGAACATAAACGAGTCAAACCCACAGAAGGTCCGATACCACGGTTCTATGGACTACCGAAAGTGCACAAACCCGATGTATCACTACGACCCATTGTCGCATCCACAACTGCACCCAACTACAATCTCGCAAGGTACCTCTTCCAACTACTACGCCCATCAGTACCTGCAAACCGAAAATAATGCAAAAAGTCCCACGATTTTCCTGGAACTCATCAAGGGACTGATCAGTGAACCAGATGAAGTGATGGTCTCTTTCGATGTGACCTCACTGTTCACCAATATACCGAAGCAAATGGCAATCGAAAGTATCCGACACTTGTTGCAAAACGACCAAAATGTGCAATTAAGAACGAAACTTTCTGTGGATGAAATGGTGAAACTAGTAGAACTCTGTATGGAAACCTATTTCTCATTCGACAGGAAGGTGTACCAGCAGATACGAGGAACTCCAATGGGTTCGCCACTCTCAGGGCTGCTTGCGGATGCGGTTATGAAACACTTCGAAGCCAAAGCCTTTGAAATCCTACAACCTCGTCTGTGGATACGTTATGTGGACGATAAATTCGTCATACTCAGAGCCTCCACAGTAGATCCGTTCCACCAAATGATCAACGAGCAGGTGCCCGGTATCAACTTCACACGAGAGGAAAAAAAAGACGGACAACTCCCCTTCCTCGACATTCTTCTCATGAGGCAACCCGACGGAAGAATCTAAACCACGGTCTACCGAAAACCGAACACGACGGACCGCACCCTTAACTACAACAGCAATCACCCTTTATGCCACCTAAAACGTTGTGTGCCAACTCTATTCCGCCGAGCAAACACTCACTGTAGCACACCACAGTTAAGGACAAGAGAAAGAAGTCGACTCTTTCAACTGGTCCTATCAAACGCATATCCCAGGAGTTTTATCAAAGCGTGCCTCAGAGGTAAGAAACAAACAACACATACAAAAGAACGAACTTGGATAACGCTACCTACATACGCGGCACGTCAGAAGCCACCGAACGAATATTCTGACCGTTGGGAATCAAGATCGCCCATAAATCGGCAGCAACCGTGTGATTATCCCTTTTCAACGGCAACGATCGAGTCGAACAGCACGAACGATCAGGAGTAATCTACGCAATCCCGTGGCCTAGGCTGCAACCAACACTACATAGGTGAGACAGGCAAACAACTACACACGAACACAAGCTTGCCCTCCGACGCGCTGACCCGAGGTCACAAATCTGGAACCACTGCGCACGGACAGGTCACGAGATCGCAATCGATAACACAAAGGTTTTGGCGCGAGCTAAGAAGAAGGGAAAACGATTAATTCTCGAAGCTCTGCACTCGGTCAATTCGTTCAACCCACACGTCGAGATAGACAAACATTACGTCACACTCGCAAAACGTGTGATGATTGGTGGACTGATAGACGTACAAACAGCACAAGAGCGCACAGAAATACGGTAATCCCATTATTTCACTCATTTCATTTACGTTTGACAACGAGTCCTAGTTTGGATCGAAACGTTAAAATAAACATTTTACAACTCAGTGCACGCCTCCATTCTCTCTTGAAATATATATATATATATATGCAAAAAGAAAATCCAGAATAAGAAAAAGGCTCAGTGATATGGAACTATTGAGAACAGTCACCTGGACGAGGTTAACTAATAATCCTAAATGGAAGAATAAAATTACCTGGCGCTCCCACGTATTTGCATTTATTTCACCAACGTCGCTGTTCAAACTTAAGCACTTTTGGGTTCTTGTGTAGTTAGTCAAGCGGCGAACAGCGGTAGCCAAACGCGATACGGCCGCAGCAGGCTGTTCTTCTGGATTGAATTCACTTAACTCTTGGCAGAAATACTGACAGACAGGATACGGGAAACGGAACCGACAGAAAATAACAAAACAATATGAATTATATCGTGGCCATAATTATTATCATATACACGGTATAACAACGCAAATTTCACTCATAATTGTTATGAAGCTCACTATCTACTCATACAACGTACGACTCCTATTTGCTATGAATTCTGAGACCTAAGCCGTAGTGGACCTTGAAGTTATCCAAATAACTATTTACCTCTCAGGAAATGTTCTCGTAATCCATGTCTGCTTTGGTCGTGTTCAATCAAATCGAGCCCTCAAACTTAGCGTTCCATAAGTAGTAAAAGTGCATCACGCACTTTGACTTATTGATGGAACTCCTACGGCATCATGATTTTCTTCTAATCTTTTATTAAATAACAATGTGTTGTGATGTTATTTGAATTGATCGTTTTGTTTTTCTGCATCAATTGCATTTTTATGATTGGTCCGTACAGGACTTTAATTTTGCCGACCTGAACAATTTGATTGCTTCAGGTTTATGTATAAACGCCAATGATTCCCTTCCCAAATGTGATTTGTGTCCAGTGGACTAGAGAAAGTATATTGAGAGCATTTCCTGAAGAACCGAATTTTGACATGATGGCAGCGGAAAATGATGCGAAATCCCCAATGTCGGAGAGAATGAATAGTCGACTGCAGGTCCAACCGCCGGCGTACCTGAATATGGAGGAGACGGGGCGATTGGCTGATAACTGGAATCTGTGGCGAACACAGTATGGAGACTTTCGTACACTGACAGAGATGGACCGCGAATCCAGTCCGGTGCAATTGGCTTTGTTCCGAATGCTTTGCGTGTCATAAATGGATTCACGTACAGTCCGGATGAGGACCGTGCAGATTGGCAGGTGGAGATGGTGAAGATGGAGCGCTACTGTCTTGGCAAATCTAACGAGACTTATGAACGATACATTTTCAACCAGAGGAAACAGCAACATGGTGAGTCCCTCAACACATTCGTCCTAGCGCTAAAATCCCTGGCTCGTTCGTGCAATTTCTTATGTCTGGAAGAGAGTCTAATAAAGGATCGAATTGTCGTTGGCCTACGGGATTCTACTGTGGCGAAGCGCCTCCTGAAAATGCCAAAGCTGACTTTGAAACAATGCATCGATATATGTTGGAGTGAAGAAGCAGCAGAGAAGCATATGGAGACGCTTACCACAGCAGAGGACTATGGATTGTGTAAAATTACCGCTGAAAATCGAACACATCCAACGACTGATTGCTGTTTCTGTGGCAGCATACATATGAGGGGAAAGAGCAACTGCCCTGCTTGGGGAAAAAAGTGCGATAACTGCAAAAAGCGTAATCATTTTGCAGCAAAGTGCTTCATGAAGAAGGAGTCAACCTCAGAACCTCACGTTTCAGCAGCTGATCGTGTCAATGGCGTACAACTCCCAGCCAAGCGGAAAGGCATATTTGCAAAGATGTTGGTGAATGGAGAAGTAACCTTCCAACTAGATTCTGGCGCGTCTGTGAACATAATACCGTGAAATTGCATACCCGATACCAAATTGGACTCTACCCAAACGAGATTGGTTATGTGGAACGGTGCAAACGTGGAGCCGAAAGGAGAAACCACTAATACACTGAAGAATCCCAGAAGCGGAATCTCTACTGTCGTCAGTTTTGTCATAGTGGAGCCGGGTTATGTTTCAATCCTGGGATACGAAGCTATCGAGCGACTTGGTCTGGTATCGTTTAACTACGATTCACTTGTTCATCACATTTGTAAAGACACCGGGGAATTGAGAATATGTATCGATCCGAAACCATTAAACAAGGCGTTAAGACGGGAGCACTTTACGCCGCCCATTTTTGACGACATACTACCGGAATTAGCTAATGCAAGATACTTTACGAAGGTGGATTTAGCCTCTGTGTTTTGGCATTTAGAGATAAACGATATATCGAGCTACTTGACCACTTTTGGCACGCCACTCGAGCGATATCTTTGGAAAAGACTGCCATTCAGTTTGAAAGTGTCAAGTGAAATTTTTCAGAAACGAATCCTCCAAGCGATAGATGATCTACCCGGTGTATTGTGCGTGGCGGACGACATTCTAATTTTTAGTACAAATGTAGATGAACACAATGGACGGTTTGAAGGCTTTTTACAACGATGTATACGAGACGGAATCAAGCTGAGACAGGATAAGCTAATTTTTTGTCAATCGGTAGTCAGCTTTCACGGTCACATACTTACAAGCGAAGGGATCAAACAGGACCCGCAAAAGATAAAAGCGATTGTAGAAATGCCTCCCCCAACTGATGCAAAAGGCGTATCACGATTCAATGGAATGATAAACTATCTCAGTAGATTTCTTCCACAACTAGCGGAATTGATGCGACCGATTCGACGTTTGACACATAAAGGAGAACCGTGGCTTTGGACACTAGAACAACGGGCGGCTTTTGATCGCGTCAAGCAACTTATTGTGAAAGCCCCAGTGCTGGCGTATTTCGATCCCAATGCACCTCTGTACATATAATGTGATAGCAGTCAATTTGGATTAGGTGCTGTGCTCCTCCAAAATGGGCATCCATTAGATTATCGGAGTACGACACTAACGGACTGTGAACAAAGGTACGCCCAGATATGCGCTAGAGAAGTTCAATGATTACATATTTGGTCGGCTCACGCATGTATACTCGGATCACAAACCACTGATCATGATTGTGGATAAACCCCTCCATAGAGCAACAAGGAGATTACAATCCATGCTAATACATACGTCTACAGAAATACAACTATGAGCTGCATTACGAACAAGGTAAACGCATGTTTGTGGTGGACACGTTGTCACGAGCCACATTGCCAGATACAGGACAGGAACAAAAGCTGGAATCCGTGAACGTTGCATTGGCGGTGACGCAGCTCGAGATGTCTCACATACGAACTGCAACTATTGACGATCCGAGTATGCAAGAACTTAAAGGAGTTATCACACGAACAAAAAAGCCCTTCCGATGGACGTATTACCCTACTATAAATTCCGAGATGAATTAACTGTTCACGATGAACTGATTTTTCGTGGTGAAAGGTTGGCCGTATCAAAAGTGATACAACAAAACGTAATGCGTTTGATACATTGCTCTCACGCCGGTACAAACGGATGCCTCAGCCGAGCCAGGGAGACATATTATTGGCCGGGTATGTCGGAACAGATAAAACAAGTGATTGCTAAATGTGAAATTTGCAGGAAGTTTGATCAGAGACAAACGAAGGAACCGATG